ATTAACAGAACATAACACATGGTTACAAAACAGTATTTGTTCTGACAGAACAATTGATCAGTTCATAAAGACAGAATGCTCCATCAGAATGACAAGGCAGGATGGTCTCCTGACTGAATCACAAGACACAGTGGAGCATCCCCTTGCACAAATGTTTCATAAGCATACATTAATTTTATAATAATAATTGAATAAACCTAACAGTCTGCGCCAAGCAAAGCCTACAGCCTTTGCTGTTCCTCCCGTCCTGCTCCTGTCTGACTTCCTCTGAGCTCGAGGAGAGAATGCGCTATATTATTATTAAATTCATATGACCAAAACATGCGGAAATGAAAGCTTAATTTAATATGACGCATACAAAATCCCCATCGCATCAAGCATATGTGCAGTTTCTGCCCAAATATGTTATTTTAGTTGTAGATTTTTATACCAGATAACTAGGATCATTCAAAACTTTTTTTTTATGAACTTTGTTCTCTACTTTCAAACTCAGCATCTCTTCAAGCATTCCTGCAATAAGAAGTTTGTTTTGATTGGATTTGATTAAACTTTTAAGCCCCTCGGTAAAAAATAAATATTTTTGATGGCGATGAGAAATCTGCTCCCTGGTCTGTTGAAGAACCTGTAGTTTGCATCACTCCTTTAAATAAACAGTGATTTTTTAAAATAATATATAATTATTTTTCTCTAATTTGTTTTTACCGATCTGTCGTTACTATAGTTAAACCGGATCACCTCTCGCTGTTCTTTTTTCTGTTTGGTGCAATGCAATTGCAGTAATTGACCTGGCCAGACCGGAGCAGAGCAAATAATACCGGCTCCTTATTTTGATGGTGACTGAAGGAGAAGACTTACGTGGATGGAGACATGTGGAGGAGTAGCGGTGGATGTGGAACGGTTCTCATTTCTCATTGATAAACAATAGGGGTGGAACGGTTCACAAAATCCACGATTTGGTTCAGTTCATGGTTTCGTGGTCACAGTTTTCGGTCTGGTTCGGTATATGTTGATTGTTAGCCTGACATGTTGGTCATGTTGCTGTTAGCATAAACAAAATGCACAATGCTTGCACACTGTTGCACTTTTATCCACAACATTCTTTCCGTCGTCATCGTATGTCACTCTAAATGCAAAGCGCTCCCATACAGCAGACCTATAAAGTGCTGCTGGCGCGTCTTCCAACTCCTGTTCTTTCCCNAGGATCATTCAAAACTTTTTTTTTATGAACTTTGTTCTCTGCTTTCAAACTCAGCATCTCTTCATCCATTCTTGCAATAGAAGTTTCTTTTGATTAGATTTGATGAAACTTTTAAGCCCCTCGGTATAAAATAAATATTTTGATGGAGATGAGAAATCTGCTCCCTGGTTTGTTGAGGAACCAGTAGTTTGCATCACTCCTTTAAATAAACGGTGTAATTTTTTAATATATAAGAATTATTCTCCAATTTGTAGTTACAGATCCGTCGTTACTAGGGGTGTAAATCACATCGATTCGATTCAGTATCAATTTCCTGAATCAACGATTCGATTATTTTCGATACTCAGGAATACACCACAATACGATTTGATTAATTGGTTCTTTTTTTTTTCACACTTTACAGGCTTGACAATGTTTAAAATTTGAACTAAATCAATGAAAGCTGTAATATCGTTATGCATTTTTTTGGAGAAACAACAGCAAATAACAGAAGTAGAAAAGTTGTACTCCACTTATTCCTATTAAAACTTCATTCACTGAAAAATAATAATACGCCTGCGTTATAGATTCTGAAAGGCCTTGCATCAAAAAATACTGCACAAAATCAGTGCAATGAGTGCAATGCAATACCTCGGCTCCAGACATCCCGCCCCCTCCACAGACGCTCCGCTGCACCTCTCCCAGATTGTAGCTGACCGCAGACAGTGCCACAAACAGGAGGCCGGCTTGTTTTGTTTTTATGACCGAAATTGCGGAAAACAACTCGTGAAGTTTGACCCGCTAGGAGAGCGACATGCGCAATAACGCTGGGACCCTTTTTCCACCTGGATCTTCGCTCTTTTTGGCCCTCATGTCCCTCCGTCGTCGGACTAAACTCGCCCCCACTTTCTCTCCGCCTCGGCCGTATCTAGACCTACAGTGTGTAGAAAAGACCACGCTTCAATATTGAGCATAAATCAAAAATGTCTTTGTCAAGCTCACTGCAACACACTGCTGTAAGAGTATAACCAGGAATCGAGGTGGGACGGCAAAATAGGTTTAGCGCCACCGCAGCACGGGAGGGAGAATTACGCCCAGGAGCAACTGGATAAAAATAGACCGGAGGTTTTGTGTCGATGCATCGATCCAAAACAATTATTATTTACACCCCTAGCCATTACTATAGTTTAATTTGACAAACCGGATCACCTCGCTGTTCTTTTTCCTGTTTGGTGCGATGCAATTGCAGTTATTGACCTGGCCGGACCGGAGCAGAGCAAAAAGTAGCGGCTCCTTGTTTTGATGGTGACGGAAGGAGAAGATGTACATGGACGGAGACATGTGGAGGAGTAGCGGTGGATGTGGAACGGTTCTCATCGAGTACTCCATATGACGTGCGTGAGCGGGGCGGAGCGCTGACGGAGGATGTGGAATCTGGGGGTTAGAACAGCTGCAGGTTTACCTGAACCCCAGTGAGAGGAGGAGTCTAACCTGCTGCTCCAGGTTTTACTCTGATTCCTCCAAAAACTCCAACTAGAAACAAACAGAAAATGGAAACAAAGAGGAAAACCAAGCTCAGTTTGAAGGCAATGGTTTGATCATCTTAGCCTCCAAAGTAAGGTTTTAAGAAGTCAATTAAAATTACGATGATTAATAATTTTATTTGCATAGGAACAGAAAAGTAAAACATGTAAAAAAAACTTTTTTTATCCATTTATTTTTATCATCTGCAGACTGGATCTTTCAGCAACCCTTTACTTAACCTCTATGTTTAATCTTCCAGCTGATCGGCCCAAATATTCTGGAAAATGAAATCTTACAGCTTCTATGCTGGTGGATAAAAAAAACCACATGAATACTTTGGAATGTAATCAAATTATTCCCAGTTTCTTTGATGAAATGCTTCAGTTTCCTTTAGGTTAATTTAAACCGTTTGACTAGAGCATCGTTGAACTAATCAGCTGTTCTCCTGCAGCTCCGTAGCGTGAAGGAGACGCCTCAGCACTCGCAGGAGGAGGTCGGAGCCTTCACCAAACTCATAGAGGCCATGGGCTTCACCGCGCCGCTCAAATATAACAAATGGGTGAGTGGGGATGAACGGGGGGGTTTGGTAGAAATCTAACAGGGAAAGAAAAATTGGTTAAAAGAAAGACAACAGAAGTCATTTGAGTTTTTAACCCAGAGATGGTTTTATATCCTGATCCCTTTGGTCCAAATGTGTCTTTAAACTGAAACTACACAAACTTTTTTTTAGTGTTTCTTTAACATGTAGTAAGTTGCTGATTCTCTCTTTTTGTTTTAACAGAAAATCAAGATTGCTGCGCTGCGGATGTACACATGTTGTGTGGAGAGAATAAACTATGACGAGTTCTTTGATAGTAAGTCCAGAACTTAAACTTTAAAACTTGCGTCTCCACTTCAACAAGTGACCCATAGATGGTTTGGATTAGAAGCTCCTTCCAGCAGAACCCAGTGTGTGAAAGTTGACGTCCTG